GGGCCAAATGGGACGGTACCAAATCCCACAAGCTGCATTTACCGCTAGAGTTTGAAAACGTTGAGACAACACTGTCTTCCACTCTACTGTCTCCAGCATTCTGAAAAATTTTGAAAAAAGCTAAATTGTTTTTACAGGAAAGATCTCGAAGTCTGTAAATAAAAGGGTATCACATGGGTATCTCGTAGCCTCAAAGTTCACATGTCGCTAAAATGTGATCCTTAATTATCTTTGAGGTGGAGAAGTAGAAATAGCAGCAGCGGAAGAAGAAGGCGTCACAGCCTTTTAAAAATACAAAGTGCTAATATATTACCGGAAGATTTCTTTACAGCACTTTTTTCATACCGTGTGCTGTTTTTTATAGAATCCTAAAACATTTTAAATATACACGACATTCAATGCTACAGATGCTAATATGGGGCTTTCACCGTGATAAAATCAAACACACACATTTTCTGCTTCTAAACCTGTTGGGAGAGTCCGGTAGAGATAGGACATCCTGCGGTGAGGCTGAGGTTTCTTATCAGCACATGCTCCTTATCACCGAGCCCCACAACGGCAGAAACACAGTCAATTTTAGCTGCACATCCCAAACTATCTATATCACACCATTTTCTGGGAATACAAGATAAAACTGTGCATCTTGCTGACAAGCAATGAAAGCTAAAAAAAAAAAAAAAACATACATTTAAATATGTATAGATATTTGCAATGTTCTGTCAGGCACATGCATAAAGAATTCCTTACAGTAAGTTTAACTAAAATTACAAATATATGTCTAATCTTTGTGCATTTAATTTTAAAAAGTTGTAATTAAATTCATAATATTAGAAACAAAAGGAGCCGTTGTTGCTCCATCAAACAGTCGTTTCACAGGTTTCAGCAGCAAAAATTTTGAAGGATTGAAAAGAAAAGAAAACTGTCATTACTTTAATTGGCTGTTAACTAGAAGGTGGGATTCTGCACTTTTTTATATCAAAAGTGAAAAGTATGTGTGAACCACCGTTCACCATCTTCGCTCATAATTTGTCTGAAAATTTGCAAAAACAGCCTTCTGGGAAGCAAGCCAAATATTCTTAAATAATATAACTGAATGTTGTGTAATCTCAAATACATTGTAAAATATAATATTTTGACAGGATTTTCCTCAAATATGAACAAAGTTGTTGTAAATTTAAGGGCCATTAAGGGTAATCTTTAAGGGTTCAAATTGAACAGGGTCCTGTCCAAAAAATAAATAAAAAAATTGACAAAATTTCATTTGTTCTTTATTTTCTCGAAATTCCTTTTTGTAATGGATATTGCACAGTATTTATGTCATCTGGTCTAATTGGTCTAGTACTCACTCAAAGGCATGTGGCATAAAACGCAGCTAATAGCCAATTGCAATTTTCAACTCTGGGTCAACAATCCTTATAGTAAGTGGTTTAAATGTTTTAATGAGGTCACCACACTCAGAAAAGAATAATCACTGCAATTAGGAGTTCTATTTTCCAGTAGCTGCTGTTTATGAAAGAAGAACATTAACACCATGTGTCAGTCTAGTTTACAGTGAGGGTAAAAGGACACAGCACTGAGCTCAGTAATAACCCTAATATACATGTTGTATAGTTTATTTAAAGCATTTAGTAATGGAGCTGAAGTCTAACTCACCTGTGCTGCATGTGCTAGCTCACAGATTCACCTAAACACTAAATGCTGAACCACAGGGGTCTACACTTTGAATAAATTCAATTATTGAACACCAAGAGTGAACCTTTCTGTCTAAAATATTTGCAATTTGTTACAAAAAATCATGTTTTTCCAGCTGAGATTTTGCCCTGGCTGCAACATTTTTTTCTAGTCAGCCAAAAGCAGAGCAAACTGGATTAGTAAAGATTCATCTGTCTCGGCAAATTTACTTTTACTAGAGAAAAAGAAATAGAAATTGTAGCAAACAAATATGTATTTTTTCTGTGTTAAGAAAGAAGATATTTTTTGCATGTTTCTCATCAAATTAGAGCATTTTGATAATTATTTTAGAAAGAAAATTGGGAATTTTTTGGCAAGGTCCTAATTTCGCATGTCATTTTTTTGGGCTGTTGTTGAAACATTTTTATGAGAATTCTGATAAAAAAAAAAAATCTAAATTTTATCTTTTCTGCATGTTTACCATCAATTTGAGCATTATGAGAATTTTTTAGAAAACTTTATTTTTTGAATTTTTTTGGCAAAATCCTCATTTTGCATATCATGTCATTTTTTTGTTAAAAAATTTAAATTAAAGAAAATCATCATGATATACAGTTTATATTATTTTTTATATATGTACAGTTTATATATTATATACTAACACTTAAAGACCTATGGCTACTAAAAGTATATTGTCTTGTTTACTTTACAGTTTTAAGAGTAAATATTGAGCATGCCGACATGTCACGCTCCGCTCCACATTTTACCTTCAGTACTTTTCCATTCGTTTTACCTTGTTGTTCACAGGCAGCAGCTCACTCCCGCTTCATCTTTACCCACTCACCTACAGTATGTTCTCTCTTATTAACAGCCAAACAGTATATCAAAGACTCTCCGGTGTTCTGGACTGTGTTCTGACCCTGTCTGCCTTGTGACTTCCTTGTTGGTCTGTTTTTTCATCAGTCAAGTCAGGATCACGATCATTTTGTTTCTTAACAAGCCTCTGCAGACCTTCTGCTGAAGGAGCTGACCTCCAACACGCCCTTGCTCAACTCCACTAACCATACTCCCTTCTCCAAGTTCCCATTTTGGGAGTTTCCTTAACCGCATCTGGTGTTTGGGATCTGTAGTACAGTCACATCTGGTGTTTGGGATCTGTAGTACAGGTAGACGTACATCTGACTGAGTTTCTTCACTAGAGGGCACACAGCTCCATGATAATCTGGACTCAAAGTCCAATAACCTTAAAGTCTGAGTGAAGTCACTTTACATCATTGATGAAGGGCTTGTCTGTGAAACAACTGATGCAGCCCACCCATCACTAGTTAATGCTGCCCATGGCAAGTGTCCGTTTGGATGTTCCAACGCCCCTCAAACTGCAGTGAGTCAAGTTTCCATCAACCTTAACCCACAGCAGACAAAACTGAGGTGCAGTTCTCTAAATGTTTAAAACATCGGTTCCTGACTGTATTTATTAAAAAACTACAGTATCATGTCAACTGTGGCCTGGTGTTGATGTACCTGCACACCTCTTCACACACCAAAGCTTATGAGAAACTTTGGTTACTCTTGTGTAGTATTTGATTCTATGCAATTGACGTATAGGCAAAAACATGACGAGGAAGTACTGTACTTTATTTACATTATGGTTGATGAGAATGGTAACGTGCCCTTAAAAGGAAATAAGTCTAGGAAACAGTCTTTGTCATGATCCTACACACATCTCTGCATTGTGATTCGTTGAACAATTAGCAAATATAATACGATCTTTCTCACTCCCAATGTTTGAATGCTACGTTTTATAATTAATGTTTTATAATTAGGGTTATATTAAATCAATAGTTGAGGGTCTTATTTACAAACTATTTTGTGTTGTTCATATCCTCTGTTGTCACTGTGTTCATGTTAACCTTGTAGCATGCTGTAAAAAGCCAATGTTTTTACCACTGTTACCGTGTGTTTTTAATGCCTTGAATATTAACGCAGTTTGACACCCGTCTCTGCAGCCCAGTGTTCGTCAGGTCACATTTCAGAGTGTTTCATTAGATTTTAATGATATGTCGCTTGTGTGAATCATTAACCCTTAGCCTCAGGATTGTTGAAATCCGTGCAACTGAAAATTGACAGGCTGTAATTATCCTCCGTCTGAGCCGTCAGGTCACATCAGAGATTAAGTTGGGTGTTGAAGTGAATTTATTAAAAGTGATTTAAATCTTTCGCTAACATCTCTTTTATTTCTAATTAATTTGAGAAAGAGGCTTAATTCCTCAATTTATTTTTTCCATTTGATTTAAGGAATGTGTGAAAAGAAAATAATAGATATATTTTTGCCAAACTTCAGTAGAAACTATTTAAAATTTACTCAAACAACTGTGGCTACATTCCCCAAATGGATAGATATCAGTAATTTAGCCTCATGTGCCAGAATTAAAGTAACATTATGTTGAAATTTAAATTATTTATGTGAGTCACTTACTCAGATCCATGCAACAGAGACCTTCTAGTTCCCACTGTGTATTTTATACTGTGTAGTTTTACTATGTGGTCCCATTGAGACTACCACAGAGAGGAGTATGGAACTGAGAGTGATCTTGGCCAGTGCTTTCCAAACTCTTTCACAGCATATTTCTGTGAGAGATCACTGTGGAAAAGTATTTTCAATTTCACCTAATTGGTCTGAAACCTACTATGTATTTACTGTAAAAAATGTCTCTTCCTTCATCTATGCCACAACACAAGACAGAACAATGACATATTGATCCAGTATGTGGCAGCAGATGGCTATGAAAAGTAAAAACATGAAGATCTTCTAAAAGGTGAAAAAAAAAAACCAAAAAACTTTCCTGTGTTTCTTTCTTCTATTCTTGCAACTATACCGGCATTGTGTTCAAATAAACAGACACGGGTTTAGTGGCTTTTTACTAAGTTAAATTACTAAGTAAGTTTTGAAACAAACTGGAACTAGGAGATAGTTTTATTTGATTAAGTACACTTTTGTGACATTGTTTGATGAGCTTGACTGCTCATGAGTGACATCACAGGTTACTTCACAGTTTTGTATTTGAGAAAATAATACAACGCTTGACAAGTTTACAAGCAAAAACTAAGAAACTTTTGGTTTTTAGTATTCTTTCATCACACGACTCATACAAAATGAGCAAAATGGGTATTACAGGAGATCAGAAAACAAAACAAGAGTATTTGACAGGTATAAAGCAACTGTCAAGTATTAATATTATAGTAAAAGCACAAATCCACAGATTAACTTTTGTTTTGATGTGGTGTCAGGAAGGGAATGTGACAACCAACAGTTTTGATGTGGTGTCAGGAAGGGAATGTAACAACCAACAGCAGTGCATTTTTTTACAAGTTAGTGACCAAAAATATTTGATATTTGCCATAAACTGGAACTGACATATTACATAATCACAGAATATATAGGAAAAATTAAAAGTTTGGTCCAGGAAACTATTGCCTTCGCATGTCACAGCAAACATCAATGAAAACCAGACAGGAAGTTTTTGGGTCAATTCTTTATAGTCTTCAACAAAACCCTGAAATTCAACACTGATAGCACCGAGTACAAAGATTTACACAAATGCAACACTCAACGCACAGAACAGAACGGATGAACTTAACAACAACCAACAAGGACCAGGCAGTCACAGAGAGAGCAAGCAGAGCTGAAAACATGGAGCCAAAACAATGTCAAAAACAGGTACACAGCATCAACCACTGCAGCAACACCGCAAACAACAATGACCCAACAGGGCACAGTGAGGGAGACAATCTCTAACCAGGGCACCAGGTGAGACGAGTGAAGCTAATTAGACAGAGAGAGAGAACACAGGTCACAGGTGAGAGAGATTAACTGATTACCAGGGAGAGAGACAGAAGATCAGGCAGCCATGACATCACTGTGTAATACAATTTTTGTACAAAAACTGTTATTATATGACGTTTCCTACAAAAAAAGAAACTGTGAAAAAAAAGTCTTCCTCCAGGCTGTGCTTTTGACAAAAGGTTCAATTTGTGTAACCACTCCCCCGATTATGATTAGCCACTCAGAATAACTGTGGTTCAGAGAGTTAGAGCATATTGTCCACAAACAAATGTCAAAGGTTGAATTCCCAGTCCTACCGCATACATGTGTCAATGCGCGAGACACTATAAAAAGTTGCTGCTGCGAGCAGCCTGTGAACGAAAGTGACGAACGTGTGTTAAAAAAGAACTTTGCACATAGATACACTGTATGTACCTAAAAGTAACTAGATTAGATTAGATTAACTTCATGAATCCCTCGGGAGTTCTCTTTGAGAAATGTTAATTGGTGAATTAAATGTGCTGTAAATGACTGTGTTGTACAGTAACACCAATAGCCATATATTTAGTTTACACATGTTAACTGTATCTGTGATATTATCGTTTGTTCTTTTAGTAATTGCTCTATTAATCAAGAAGTTATTAAAAGAAAATGCCCGGAACGTGACCTTCTAAAATGCATCAAATTGTATTTTGTTTATTTATCTTGTTTATTTTCTATAATTCATCGTGGTTTCAGATGGGACTTCATCACATCTCTGTTTCTTTGTCAATCATAATCGACAGTTGCAAACTTAGACCAATAATTTGATCAAAACCTAAAACGACATCGGTTTGAACTCGAGATTTTTTCCCCTGTTTTTTTTAAGTGTGCGAGTGACCTCTAGTGGAAACAGCATGCATAGACATGGACACCAAATACACAACGTCAATACTGCTGACACTTTATTCTCATTTCAACCATTTGAAAAACAGATAAATAAAGAAGTTTCTTGAACAACAATTTAAGATAAAAAAAGTGTCATTTGAACCTATGACATACATCTATGACACTCGAATCCAAGCAGAGAAAGTGAAGATTCAGGTAGAAATACTGCTTCACATTTAGGGTTAGGGTTGTGATGTTTATGAACACCCGGCAGTTAAACCTTTCAGACCTTAAATCACCTGCTATTATCATCACCCTCTCACGGCGAAGCCTGGTGGAGGCTGAAACTTGACCTGGCCTCTTAACGGCTGCTTGTGTGACGATGGTCCCCTCGTCCCACTGGCCTGTCTGTCCCTGCTGGTGTGTCTATTTATATTGTCCAGACTCAGTGCAGGGGTTATTCAGAGGTGCCAGCGAATACAAAGTGACAGGCACAGGAGAACAAAGGGTGAGAAATTCTGCTGTATTATTTACTTCATTATTCACTGAATTGTTATTTATTTCAATTCGACTTCATTTTGTTGCTGTTTTTTTTATTCTCACCACTATCACCTCGTGTACTTTTCAGCAAAGTAAACTAGACACTTGTTAAATTTACTTGACAATTGACAACATTTTGTTAATTTTAAAGCCAAGCTTAAATACTGTGTGTTAAAAATATGTTAGAAGTATCTCTGTAAAACTAACTCTTTCTCTCCCCAAAGAATCGTCTCAGTGGATCACACTTTCTTTAAACAACAATGGTAAGTGTTGTTTGTTTCCACTATTTACAATCTGCATTCAAGTATAACTGTTAATTTTGAGAAAAAACGTCTTCAGCTTCATAATATATATTTGGTTTTTTTTTTTGGCACTTACTACTCTGATTTTTTTTTTTTATGTCAAAGATGAAGAACATAAAGCTGTCAAAAGGAGCTCATCAGCACTGTGACAAATGCTATGACGCCCACTGTCGAGCTCCGGTGCAGATCCCTGTCTCCTGCTTGGTCGTCACATGTCGCAACCACTGTGGTTTCACCTTCCATATGTGCAAGGAAGAAGAGCATCAGCTCCTGTGTCCAAAGGTGACGGTCCCCTGCCTCAATGTCCTCTATGGCTGCCCCTTAATGATGCTGCGCCACAAGCAGGCCGAGCACCTGGAGGTCTGTCCTGCCAGCATAGTCTGCTGCTCCCAGGAGTGGAACCGCTGGCCCGTCTCTGAGACAGACATGACCTTTTATAAAAATGTCTCAGATGCCTGTCACACGGAGAAGCACCTGGATGTCGCTGTGGCTCTGAGGGACCAAGATTTGTTGTTTCAAACCATAAAAATGAAGAATATTTTTCCGGAGCTGATGATGGAGGAGCAGGATGTCACTGGGGTTAAATGTGCAGATGAGGAAGCAGCTTGTTCCAGAAATTGTGTTGAATCTACAGGAAATAGCAACACAGGCCTGGAGAAAACAGAATCTGGCCAAGAGGAGGAGGAGGAGGATCTGAGTCCAAACGTAGATGAAGAGAGGACTCAGAACTTCAGTTCCTGGAACAAAGTCTTTACAAAAGAGCTGGGAGGGTGTACGGAGACTGCCAAAAATATGAACACTAAGGAGGTAAAAAGAAAACAACATGATGATCAGCAAACAGCCAACTGTCAGGTTATTGTAAGGAAATCACATCAGGACCAAGAAAACACTGCTGCTGCTTCAAACATGGAGGGTGCAACTGGTTTTGCACCGTGGCAAGACGGGGTCCTTGAGAGACTGGGCAAACAAGTACACATTGCAGATTACAACATGTATCTAGTACACCATGGAGCAATGTTGATCAACTTCGGGCAACTTGCAGCTTGCACCCCGAGAGAGAAAGATTTTGTTTATGGCAGTCTGGAGCCCATCGAGGTCAAAACTGTCCGCACCTTCAACGTCCCGACCAGCTACCGAGCAAAGCGCATTCATCTGAAGGACCCTGGACAAAAAGCTGAGACCAGAAACCAAAGTGTTGACACCAGAGACATGGGCCTCTCAGTTGAAGATCTACCAAAGTGTGATGAGGTTAGCGCCACCCTTCTGTGCGCTCTGGAAAATGAATTCAAAGGACATGTAATCTCAGAGAGTGTGGGCGTCGACGGTCTGTACGTGAACGTAGGGACACAAACGTACAATTTCAAGTCTGCTCCTTTCAGAACAGATGCGTCTCTCGCTGACATCATGATGGACAAACCTCCATGTCTGTACATGCATCTCGAGGCAGAGCCCGTCACCAGAAGACACAACAGAAGGAGCTCGTCCTTCAGTTACGTGTGTGGTCACTTCTTTCGCCGCGATGAGTTCCGCTCTCACTACAGGAATGTGCACTCTGACATACAGGCCTCGCTCCACGGCTGGCTGCAGCAACGCTGCCCCTTAGCATACCTCGGCTGTACTTTCACCCAGAGGAGGTTACAGCCTGGAGGTCAACCTACCACAATTAAGTTCTGCCCAGATGTCAACACTTTTGTCCTTCAGCCACAAGTGCCCTCAGCACTCTGCGATAATGGGAAGACAATAAACCCTCAGAGGAATGGCGTCCGAAATCTGGACCCACTGAGCAAGCTGCCGCTGGAAATTCTCCAGCACATCGCTACTTTCCTTGACAGCTTTACACTATCACAGTTGGCCCAGGTCTCCCATCTGATGAGGGATCTGTGTGCCATGCTGTTACAGGAGAGAGGCATGGTTTCACTCAAGTGGGAAAAAAAGAAATACTCCCATGGGAAAACTTCCTGGAGGTGTCGAAAGAAGGCAAGTATACTGTCTTGTCTTCCAAGTAAATGTTAATTTTTTTATATGAAAATACTGCAGCAAGCTTTTAATAAATCTAGATTTTAATAAACCTAGGAAACACCTTTCTGAACCTCAACTATATGTTTAGACTGACATCTGCTGGATAACAGCTGAATCGCTTGAATTGTAAGTAATCCCACACTGAGGAAATTGACATATTGCAACAAAAATAGACAGAGAATAACACAAAGAGGACAACAAATATAGCAATTAAAAAAAAAAACAAATACCATTGAGGTAGAATAGACTGTACAATAAAATAGAAATGATAAAATAATATATTTAAATGTCAAAACAGTTATAGTAGTTAAACTGAAGGTCAAGACCAAGGCTTTTAGAAATAGTTAACATTGTTTTTTTACATGAGAGACAGGTTGATCAGAATAACACATTCTTAACCTCATCTCTCTATGGTAGAGGTTGCCAAACTGGGGGCGGGACCCCTGTGGAGGGCGCAGAGCGACTGTAAATAGGGCGCAGCAAGTCAAATTATGATTCTTTTTTGTTACAGTGGGACATTTGACTGATTTGTAGTATTTAGTGTAGTGTTTGTAGAAGTTTAGTGATTTAAATACAAACAAAACAAATGTTCCATCCTATTTGTGTGAAGCCTTGTTGTCGGTGAGGGTAGGTGCCAGATCCAGACCTTTGTGCCGACTTCTCTTTACTGCCTGGCATCATTCTGTCCACTGTCTCTTGGAAAGATTTCACTCATTCATACCAGGTGACAGCTGCAGCATTGTAAACACTCTCCAGACTCAGAGCAGTTCCCTCCAAACACGTGGCAAACATGTCAGCAGCAGTGATTTGGTCCCTGCTGCAGAGAAGTGCTGCCTCCCCCTTCACTTTGCTCCTCTTATCAGAGGAGCAACAGCAAGTGAGGTGTGACAGAAAAAGAGAAAGTTTGGAAAAACACTTTTCTTTTTTCTTCTCCTCCAACTTTATATATATAAAAAATGATGAGGTTTTGTCATTTTTGCAGAAGTTTAACATTTCTATTATGACCTGCATTCCAGTGACTGGAGGGGCAGCTGTCATCAGTCTGTGGAGATGTTAGCATGCTCTGTCAATGGATGACAGCAAAGAGATTAGGGGGAAAAAGTGAATAGTGAGGTCAAATCCAGCAGCTGGTATTAAAGCAGATATACTTTGTCTTCATTACATCACTAAGCGAGAACTTAGACCCCTGTAGCTTAGACCACTGGGCCAAAGTGACGCCTACTGGTATTGTTGTCTGGTTTTTACAGATTGATGCTGTCACAGCTGCACGGTCGTCAGGAGATGACCTGCTGTAAATAACATATGTGGGGATTATGTGATATTATCATGACAGTCTATAGGGTTTGAATATTTAACCAATCCTATTATGCTAGATCAGTGTTTTTCAACCTTTGAATTCCAGGCGACCCCACGTGGAGTCGGCTCAAATTCAAATGCGGTCACTGGAAATGTCTTTAATGTATAAAATAAATTGCTGATAAACTATTTATTACTATTTTTAATTAGTATTGTATGCAAAAACAAGCTTACCTAACTCTAACTTACTGTGATCAGGGAAAATGAAATCACAAGTCACTCTGTGACTAATCTGGCTGCATTTGCAAAACAGTCAAACAAACACGACCAAAAAACATGTATACTGACCAAGACTGTTGTTATAATAAATAATTATTCAAATAAATTATAAATTACATAATTAAAATTAACTTAAGTATAAGTCTGGCTTTATAGCTTGCCCTTAATTGCAATAGAAGAGTCACCTGGCAAAACATGTACTCTTCATAGTGGATAGGATTAAGTAAGAAAAGTTCTTCAGAGAAAAGGTTTAATTTCAATAAAAGTTTTTTCTTTGTTGAACGTTTTCTAAAAAATACACCAACATATTCCAGAATTCTCTCTTCTCTCCACCTTTTTGAAGAAAAATATTTTGTCACAAGCAACCTGATATGATGCAGTCCCATGACACACCACATTTAGCCCCATATGACCCACATTGGGTCACCACTCACCCATCACTATTAATTCCATTGTGCTCTAATATTAGGCATGACAATAGTGCAGTCAGGTGACAGCAGTATCAGGTCAACTTAGCAGATGTAAATAAGTGCTTTTATATTTAGTTCGATGCTACTAAGGTGAGAGCAAAAACATGGAGTGTCCCGATGATATGAGGAGTGATCCATGACCTGAGCATTTACTGCCAGCAAACACAGCGCTGCGATCAGGCGTATTATCAGTCATGAAGCACAGCAGTGATAGAGACTACGTGGGTGACAGCTGGGTATTTGCTCTCTGAAGCACGGCATAATTTGAATAAATTCATAATGGATGAATATAGGAATAACATCACGTCTGACATGTGATGAAAATACGCTGTGATCCAAATGCCACGGATATTAAAAATACATCTATCCTAATACAACCTCTGTAGCTGTAATATAACTGACAGACGGCTTGACAGCAGCCTCCCACATCTACTTTAGCTCTGTCTTTTTTTTTTCTTAGGTTTGGGAATTCAGCACTGTGTTCTCCTCGGTGGACAAATGGAGCTTCAGCAACAATCACTCCATGTCAGATCACCTGAGAAGCTGCTCCTTTTACCAGAGGGGTGAACGCACTGAGCCGGTGCTCCTGGCTGGGCTGGAGGAGGTCAGAGACAAACATGGAGAAGTGAAGCAGGAAAGATAACGCTCAGTGGAAGCTGCCAAGTAGATATGACTTTAATTGTCCTTAAAATTTCTAGCTGCTAAACAAGACAGATAAAAGTTGTTAGAGTTGAGTTGTTGCCAGAGTTGTTTTCAGAGCTCAGAAAAAAGTTTTGGCAAATATTCTTTTAAAATGACGTTTTCATTTTTACTTGATTACACTGACATCTGCTGGATAAAAGCCGAATCGTCTCACAAGTCAGAAATGGTGTCATATCACCAAACACAGATTAAGCGGGGTGTTTAATCCACGTGTCACTTTATGTGGTATACTTTATGTCAAACGTGATTTAACACAGCCTCTCTCTCCGATGAGACTTTAACCTTGTTTTTTGATTTGCACTCTGTAATGTGTGTGTTACTGCCATTACACTGTATTATGTCTAATAAATCTGAATTGCTGTTGGCCTGATATATTCACGCAGCTCTCAGTGAAATGAAAAAAATATATATATATATGATATAAAAAGACTTTATTAACCAATATTTCACCAAGGGTAAAAAGAAACTAATAAAATCACTGCATCTCAGGCACCTCTGGGTTGCGCAGCTTGTTGATCACTTCTGCCAACATCTTGTTGCATAGGGCCGCATAAGGATTGAGAACCACGGCCTGTTGTCGAGCAAACTCACTTCCCAGCGCGGCCGCTCTTTCGAAGTCGGCTCTGGCTGCGTCATTCTGACACGTCAATCTTCTCAGCAGGCCTCTCTGCACCAGGGCTTGGCATGCGGTCCGTCCAGTGCCATCGCTCAGAGAGATGGCCTGGTCCAGGTCCTGCAGTGCTCCTGAGAAAATAGAAATGATGTCATAGGTATAACAATGTTTTGTATGGTTTACTGTCAAGATGTAACACACCAGGAAAGAAATTGCTAAGCTTATTCTAACAGTGCATTATTTGGAATGCTGTAGATCAACCCCTGGTATGCAGACCATAACCAGTTCATGGCTCATTTGATACCAGGGCTACAGTGAACTTATTAATAATAACAAGTCATTTAAAGAGCAGACATTTCTATTTACATTTACCATTTAAATATAATCCAGCATTCTTTTCAAAAAAATGTCTTTCAGACTCTGATACTAATAGAATAAAATCTAAAAGATATTTTAATTTGAAAATGTACTAATCCTTAAAGGTCATTTAAAGGTCAGCATGACGCTAACAGAGAGCGACAAAAAAAAAAGATTAGGGGTCACTGCCTGAGATGAACTTGACTATTTGACACTCATATACTCATATTTTATAAGGTCTGGAATTCAAATACGTATATTACTATATAGGGTTCTGGCCTTGCCTTGACCTATCAGTTGGTCAAAGCAGGGCCAGAATGCAGGCAACAGAAAAATAAATTAGTTGTAGCTATTTTCTTTTTCCTAAAAGATACAAAGTTTTCACTAAGAAAGTTTCTTCTATGCTACACTGTGTTGAAAACTGTTTGTTAGAAGCGGAGCTTCTAACAGTTTATATCAAAGTGTACGACTACAACACCAGGGCATTTGGCTTCAGCTGTAGATGAAAACAGCTCCTGGAGCACACAGCTAATGTGGATCAAAAGGACAATCAAATGAACAAAAACAGAAGTAAACAAATACCTGAGCACATAAACAAATGGATAAAGCTCTAAAAAAACATTTGAAAAACACTGATAAAAGAACAAAAATACAAAACGAAGTAGACACAGGGGGCAGGAAGTGGAAATTCAAGGAGAAACACTGACAAAAAAGCTGCAAACAAAAACAAAACTTTTAATGCATCTGGAAAACAAAACCAGTGTGGAGAGAAAATCTATACTAGTCCAAACAAAATACAGGAAGCAGTCAAGACAAATGTCTTTTAAGGTCAGATAAAGGCAAATCAAAGTCAAATTTCACCTGCAGTCAGTGTGATACATTACCACATGACTGAACTGAAAATATCAGAACACTTGTCTGAACCACCACTGTGAGCAGCAGTCTGATTATTTTATCCAATAATACGAGTTGTTACTGAAGTGCCGATTTCAAACCTTGTTTGGATAAGAGGACAGACCAGGATTCAGAACATTGACTTTCTTTGTAAGATCAGGTATTCACCATGTGGTATCTTGTTTCAATAAAATTCAGAGTTTTTTTTTAAACAAGTAGAGCTGCCACCTAGTGGTTGCTCGCAGTCCGGTTTGAACCCTATTATCAGATAAAACATTTAGAAATTAATTTTTAATTATACCTGTCTGATGTACGGTATTATACCAAGATCTTTAAACATTGATTATTAATGTTAATTTTAATAAAAGCCACACAACACAGCATATTTTCTCTGATTCTCAGAGGTTGGTTTTTTTCAATTGTTGTTTTGTTGTTTCTTCTCTCGATAAATGTGTGAGAAGTTAAAGAATATGACCTTAAACAATAAACGAAAACAAAAGGTTAATGCTGCTGACATGATGCTTTAGAAATTCAAATCTCTGAGCCGGTGAGACAGCGGAATGTCAACTTAACTTCTCAGCATGACATGTCAACAACACAACACATAACATGTGGTGACTGTGAAAAGATCTGCTGCCAAACGCCCGGCATGTTTACCTGCCGTGTTACCCAGCAGCCGAAGGACTTGTCCCCGGTTGTTGTAGGCTGAGGCTCGCTGCGGAAGGATCTGGATTGCCTGGCTGAACAGTTGAAGTGCAGCTTGCAAATCCCCCGCCTCAGCCGCCGAGACGCCCCGTAACTCCAACTCTTTCACCTGCCTCAGCAACTCGGTGTCAAAGCCACTCTCTGGCAGGAAGAGATAAACAGGCTGAAAACTGCTCTAACTCAATTGACAGCTACCATGCAAAGAGAAACAGAGAAATGTCACGGAGAACTCAGGCCGGATTAAATTTTTGTGATTTTTTTTTACTGCCGAAATGGAAAGAGTTCAAGAAAATCCAATATGGCGTGAAATGATAAAATAAAATACAAAGCTATGACATGATACGAGGAGACACATCAAGTCTGAGGCTCACACTCACCATCGTCAATTAATTCTTCCTTTTGGTTCAAGCCAGGGATGTCTCCAAACGGGGTGTTGGGGTTGAATATTGCCTGGAGCACAGCTCTGTCATGTTCTGAGGCCATCTTAAAGGAGATTACGATGAAAGCAGAAGGAGAAAATAATGACACCGAAAATGTAAGGCTATGAGGAGAAATCCTACACTTTTAACTTCTGCCATTCCCAGCAGCCAATCACAAAGGGGGGCGTAAAGCAGAGGTGGACTTTGACCACATGTGTTTTGGGTTAACTGAAAAAAATGCAACACTTCAGCTGCAGCTGCAGTGGTGGAGGAGAGCAGAGGAAAGATGTGAGCAGGAACCAGTGTTGGTGTAAAAATGCATTAATGTTGCCAAGGTTACACACTATTTGTTAAATAAAACGAAGGCGATGGATGTTACAACAATAATGATATTTCAGATCCATCAAAATCCTCTCTGACATGGAACACGTGTGGGAGTAAAATTCTTTTCTCTATTACCTGCTGCTCTTTTTAATTCCACTAGGTGTCCCCAGACACTCATACATCTACATAAGGCAGCTACCCGACTTCCACACTACTGCAGTGTTTCCTAACCACTTTTGAGAAACAGCATACATTTATTTACATGACACAAGACCACAAAAGTATATGTAATAAAGTATAATGATCCAGGAGTTTTTAATTCATTCAGTTTACTTTCTTACTGTGAACCCTGGGCTTCTTTAGTTGAACATATCCCTGTCACACCACCCGGAACTAAAGAAAGATCACCCGG